TATTTCATAGGTAATGAGTTAACTAAACTATTTAAAGTCAAGGAGCTGCGCTGGCACTATTCTGAAAGTGGCCATGGCAAAGGGGCGCCCGATGGCATTGGGGGTTGCTTAAAAAGAAATGCCGACACCTTAGTGGCCCTAGGAAGAGACATCTCTTCATTTGAAAAGTTTATTTTCGAATTGAAAACTCAATGTCCAGGAGTCACAATAATACCTGTGACAAAGGAAGCCATTGACTTATTTTCAACTCCGGCAACCTTAGAGACTTTTAAAGGAACCCTACAAGTACATGAAATTGTTTGGACAGAAAAAGATAGCAATGTTCTTCAAGCCAGAAAATTAAGCTGCTTAAAATGTGATGCAGCAAAAACTTGCAACCATTATGGGATTGGCAAGATAAATCTTAACAACAAAAGTATCCTTTTGAGAAATATATTTTATAACTTAGAAACTAGAAACATAAACACATATTTTAAACACACACATGGGCCTTAACATATTTACACATAAAATACGTACACATGTATTAAACATATTTTGTTTATTGATTATAAACATAATTTAATTTATGTATTTAAAATTTCAAGTACTTGTTACACATAATTATGTAATTTTATGAAACTGACACAAAATGTGAAATTTAATCAATAAGTATGGTATTTGTTCCATTTCTTGCCATTTTCCTCTATGGTATTTGTTAAATGTGTAACTTTGCTACTTTTTTCTATAATCTGTTTCAAACCCTATTTTCCTTAACCAATTTTCAGCAGATAACAACAAAGAACTTCAGACAGTTGACAGCTTGGATGCACAACTTGAGGATTCAAGTGACGCCTGGGACTTACCAAAAAGTATCCTTCTAAACAAGTTTTTTTTCCAGTCATATTTATTGATTGTCTATCCTTGATTTTAGGTACCTACCAATTATCATTGTGCCAATTATCATTGTATCTTAAATCTACACATTAATGAATTTGCAATATTTTGAGTATATTCCTTGACTATTTACTAGGTGGTACTACTCAACGTAAACGAATCAAATACAAAGATGTTTACTCCGACAGTGAGGACGATGCTGATTTCAATGTCGGACGTAATGACTATGTACTAGTGAAGCTGAGTGGCAAGAAAAGTGTTAAGCATTATGTTGCTGTAGTAACAGCAAAGTTAAGTGATGAGTTAGAAGTGAAATTCATGAAAAACAATGGATTCAACATTTTTGTTTTCCCACCTGTTGAAGATTGTTCTTTCATTAATATTGAAGATGTTGTCGGTGTTCTGGGACAGCCTCGTGTGGACAACAGGGAAAGATATTCATTTGAAAATATTGGCAAATATAGTTCAATTAAAATATACTAGAAACAGAAAGTTAAAAATGAAAAAAAATGTTACACGTGTACTCGCAATACTTGTTTTTTAAGATTTGAGAAAATTACAAATTGTTGTTTATTGTTTTTAACACATAAGGTACAATGAATAATATCATTTGTAATCTTTAATTCATTGTCAAGAAAAAATAAAGTTTGTTAATCTTTTGCAGTTGTTATTAAATTGTCATATTAATTTCCATTAGCGTCACTTCTGTGGACAACCTTTTTCTAAGGTTTAACCTATATAATTGTTACAAAACTTGGGCAAATAACTTGTTTAGTTATATAATATTATAAACAAAATTGAAAGTAAGTTTTATCAATGTTTATTGTGCTTAAAACTCATAATATAGCGTTTCATCACTTCTGTGGTCATGACCATCACTTCCGTGGACAAGGTTTAGAAAAAAATTACTTTCTTGCGCTAAATAATTTTTTCTAAGCTCAGCTACTATGATATTTTGTTTTCTAGTGATATAACGAAGATATTCAGGTAAGTTTTTACAAAATTTCTTTCTTAAAAAAAAATTAATCAAAGTGTACCATTTTTGTAGAACGACCCAAACAATAAAATCTCACCTCCGTTACTATAACCTCACCTCCGTGAAAAGGCTGATCAATTTTTTTTAATTTCGCTAAAAACTGTTTATGATCTTTGTTGACCATACCTATGACAGTTATGTTCTTTAACTTAACAGTACAAAAATATATAAAACATATATTTTTAAGAAAAAATTTTATTTTTTTTTATTTTGTTGAAATGTGCCCGATATTTGAGAATGACCCAAATCTGTTTTTTGCCCATAACTTATTTGCAAATCTACTTCCTTATATTATTATATATTTGTAATCCTCATAAAATTTAGAACAAAGTGGCTACAGTAGAACCTCTTTAATCCGAACTAATTGGGACCAGGGGTAGTTCGGACTATTGAATAGTTCGGATTACAGAACATATTGTTGTTTTTACATAACAATAGCTAAAACATGGCTAAAATTGATCAACATTATTTTGGGAATAGTGAAAAAAGGTTTTATAAAGTAAAATACAGTGTTTATTTAATACAGTAGTTAACATGGTGAATAAACACTACTGTAAATTAAATACAGTATACAATAAAGAACTGCTGTACTGTGTATAGAGTACAGCAATGAGGGGTTCGGATTAGTGGACGTTCGGATTACGGGGGTTCGGATTAAAGAGGTTCTACTGTATTTTCAAATATTTATAGGCCTATAATTTATACAATTTCATTGAGCGCGAACTTATTATTTTTTTTTTTATTTTCCAAAATTTTTTTTTACCTAAACAATTTTTTTGAAACAAATGTTCCTTAAGTTATGTTTTAAGTATAATATTGAAGCTCATGATTTTCCAAACAAAATGGTAGCCTATATAGAACAGTAGAATTAACATTGTTTTAAGCTTCTCAGATCCGTTTAAATAAAACCTTGCAAATGCGCCGAAAATAGGCGGACATTAAGGCCTAAACTAGTGATGTGCGATACGTATCCTATCGTATCGGAATATCGCGATACGCGAGGGACGATACGATATTTCGATACGATATTTGAAAAACGATACGTACCGTATCGTATCGCCTAAAACGATATTTGTATGTATATCGGCATATAGAGCGATACGATTCATATCAAAACGATATTTTTAAGATTTTTCTGTGCAGGCCGAGCAAACTGCAAAATCCTACTCTGTGGATATGTAGTTTGAAAAAGGAGTTTGTGACGTCTGTATTTCTGGTTTTTACTTGATAATGTACCAGTCCCGTCCCGTCCCAGTCCAACTCCAGTCCATTTCCACTAGCGTTCTATCATTGAATAATAGTCAAAGGTTCTATCTAGCCTAGCAGTGCAGAATGTGGGAACTGTGTCTGGCAATTACATTTAATGCATCTGCAATCCTAAAATGCTATGGGAAGGATAGGGAAACAGGTCCAAGACGTAGGGAGTTGTGAAGGAAGTAGTAAAGGCGAGCAGTGTGGAGTGTGGGAATGGATTAATGTATCTGCCATACTACGACTGTTTTCAGAGTAAACTAATGATTTTCCCCGAGCAAAGCTCGGGCCCCAGGTACTTAAATAAATTTTTCGTTTCTTGAGGTAGGGGAGGGGGGAAACAATACGATACGTATCGTTTTTCGATATTTTTGACGATACGATTCGCGTATAGCGATACAGATGCCCGATTCAATACGGCGATACGATATTTTTTTCCGATACGTATCGTATCGCTGTACCGCGATACGCGTCCGTAAAGGCCTAGCTTAGGTCTATAATTCGATTCTAATAGGCCTAATACCAAGCCAGATGTTAAAAAAATTAAACTTAGCCTAGGCCTACTCCAACAACTCCTTTTAATGTAGAGATAACATTTCTTACCATTTAACTTTGCTTCTGGAAAACACTCGTAGCTTCCATAGCAATCGTTGACGAATAATTTAGACAATTCTGCGTTGGCCGTTATATGGGCCACAGATTTCTCTTCAAACGCTTGCTTTTCTAAAAGCAACACTGCTTTACCTTCCTTGTCCTTAAAACAGCCTTCCAAAAATATAGTTTTACGTTGTGGGTTGACACTTAAAACACGCTTAACAGCAAAATCGGACAAATTTATGTCGTGTTGATGATTTACTATTACATCAGCAATCTGTTCATTCGCCGGTATTCCTCCGACTTGTTCTGATTCTGCCATGTTGTTGATCGTTTTGCTCGCTCGTGCTCGTTTCCGTTCAGTTGTTTGTTGTTTGTTTTTTAAATGATGTTTGTTAAGGTTTGTTTATTTTTCTTATTCTTTTATTTTGCCAAAAATGGCCGGCTTTGGTCGGTTTAAACCATGCAGCCGCGTGGCTCAATATTTTTTAATATAACTTTAATTTTGGTTGCTTCCTTCGGGTTAGTATTGTCATAGATAGAACATACTCCTATGTTTTATCATAGATAAATCATACTCCCTTAGGTTTTATCATAGATAAAACATCTATGGTATTGTCATCTGAAACAGTTTGTTAGTTACATGGTTAATTGTCATCAATTAGTAATTGTTAGCATAGTTACTATTCACATGGGTATTATTTCTTGTAATTTGTTTTTCAAAAAGATTGGGATATTTAATTTTTTTCTTATTCTTATTGACATTGTTTTTGCATGTGTAGTATTAGCATAGACAAAACGGCGCTGAAGGGCCATCAACTGTAAAAAATATTTTACTTAATCTGAGAAAAAAACTTAGAATAGTCAGAACCAACGTGTTGTATCACGGGGCCGTGGTTGTATATATCGTTGGTCAGAATGCGGGAAGTAGCACGGCCGCCTTTAGGCTTCCACTCTGAGAACAATGTCAGAATTCTGATTTTAAAGTCAGAATATAAATAACTACTGTAGTCAACACACTATGAGGAGTATCTAAATTAATATATAAACGATAATTAATTATTACTGTTGATAATTCATTATAATTTGTGAAAATGCATTAAACTATTATAAAACATATCTGATAGTATTCGAGGTATAAGTATGTATACTCCATGCTGTTTATTATTGGTCTGCAATAATTTATTCGATTCCGTCGTCTGCTGACAGATACTATTCCGATTTTGACTGATTCATTTGTTTGTTTACTTCTTGTTGTTTGTAGTTCACTTGTTCAACCGTCAGTGAATTTTAATAAATTGTCTCCCTTGGTAAGTTTCTATTTGAACTAGATTTTATTATTAATAGTTTTACCATTTATGATTGGCAGGATGTGCATGACGTTATAAATACCTGCTTGAGGATTGAACATTCAATAGCTAAATTCCCTTATCTTACTCCAAAATGTAGTTAGGTGACTCGCACTAAATCGAAACATATTGTTGACTATCCTGCTCCCACTTTAAAGAGTAATCCATAACTTATAAATTTCATGTTTATTTATTTGTTAATTAGTTTAAGTATTTCTATGTTGGCTTGGGCTAAATGTTTTATTTGAGCATTTTTTCAACATACCCTACAAAATCGCTTTTACCTAATGCTATTGCTATTAGACCTGAGTCTGACTGATTAAATTATAGGCTAATGATTAGAAACATTAAACATTTGAAGCTGGTCACTTTGAGAAATTATCATGAGTAAAATGCTAAACCCCTGTCACACTGTTTTTTCATTGCTAGTTAAGTTAGTGACAATTATTCTGTATAACTTAGCTACAATGGTTAAACAAGTACCCAATTTTGAAATGTCTACTTACAATTTTTGCATGCTGAATCCAAAAATGCAATCAGATTTTGTTGGATATACTCATAAGTGGTTGTAAAACTAAGTTAAAAATTATGAATCTTAAGGGTTAAGCTATTGAAAGATAAGTAACGGATGGCAAACTTGAGTTAATATGGTAGTTTGGATGTGTCCGAGTGTGGGCTGTGGAGAGCAAAACTGTGTTTTGAAGATAGGTTAGGTTACGAAGCCAATGTTTAGGTTATAATGAACTGACTTATTCATTTATAATCAACTCCAGACTATTTTTACACAATTGTAATATAAGGTGAAACACAATAAATAACAATTTCAAAAATACTTGCAGAATAATAGAATTAGAACTTATGCCTTTGTAAAATTAGCCGAAAACCAGCATCGTGTGTCTGCTTCTCCAGCGGCTAGCGAAACACTTGCATAAGCTGGTACCTCACTTTAAAACTGGTTTAGTTTAATATTGCAAGCGCTTGAAAAGTCACTCGATAGTGCCAATCCAGCTCCGTCTGACTAGAGCCTACAGTATCGTGCTAGTTTTTTCAATAAGAACAAATTTAAATTAATTTAATAGTTTAAATCAATCAAAAACAAAATTAAAATGTCATGTTAAGACATTTTTGGTGAATTTCCACTTGTTTTGTGTTGGTTTTTAAAAGATAAAGAACTTTGGTGATATGCCTACCACAACCTTTTTTGTTTTTAATTATTAACTTACAAGCCCATTGTAGGTACAAAATAAAAGTTTTTCCCTATATTTTATTTAACATTTTCATTTTTTGCCTTGCACTCGTTTTACATCCATTGTGGCTAATCATGGACAAAACATCATGTCTAACGCCAACAGACGATATTATTATTGTTTTAACTACACACGGTACCTATCACAACTCCAGACTTAGCTAGTGTATTGATAGCATTTGGGGGAGGATTGATTTTTAATCCAGTTGCATTTATCATTGAGCTATCAATTCAGGATCCCTTTTTTAAATGTGTTGACAAAGAGTGAACTAAATAGCCTAAAACAAAAATTTAAAATTTCCTGTTTTCAAAAATGTCATTAAAAAGTTAGGCTAAGTTAAAATATTTTAGCTTAGAAGGTGAAAAAACATCACTTTTTAAACTCAGGGGTGAAAGGTGACTGAGCATTCTTGTTAATAAATTATTTTAATTTTTTTATTGCAGAAGCACTAATAATGGCAACTTACACAACAAATAAACCTGCAGTCCGTGACAGTTTCGATGATGATGATGTCAGTGATGATGTTGATGATGAAGTATTTATCCGAGATGGAAAAAATGGCTTTAAAATGGATGAAGAAAGAGGTGTAAAAAGACCTTTGATGGCGCCAAGGAGGAAAAATAAATCTGCGAGTGGAAGTCAGTTCCATCCAGAAATCTGCAAGCAGCCACAGTGTCGAGCATTTTGTGTGCCTTGCTGCTACGGCTTCCTTGCACTTGTGGCATTGTTTGGTAATCTATTGTTTGGTGTCAATAGTCCTATATAGGCTATAATCTTGGACTCAAATTATTAGATACTGGTTTTGAAACGGGTTAACTTAAGATAAACAACAATAACAATAACTACAATCCCATAAGACACGGTATCTTATTGATAACTTAAATTTGTTTCAAATTATTGAATTCTACTCAATGATATTAGTTTGTTCAAACAGGTTTCAGATGTTTAAGAACCAGTAACAACTAGCTTGTAAATGCGGCTTCGCCTGCGATGGTATAACTATCATACAGCATAAGAAATAAACAGAGTATTAATCTAAATCAAAACAGGTGTCACACCTGGATACTTGGAAGTTTCCTAATCTTTGTTTACTTAATCTTTTTATTAAGGTCTAGGTCTTTAGTTCTGTTACCGTTTGCAAATAATTATCCGTAGTGGCTTTGCCAATGATCAGCCGTTTTAATGAGTTAATTGGTTACGTAGTTCGCATAAGGTCCTGTCTCAAAGAGCTTTGCTTAATTAGTCTCTCAAGGGAGTGGTCTACAACTAATACACAAAAATAAAATTAAGATAGTCACTCAGATTTTTATACCGTGGAATTGGCTGAATCTTTTTATAAAATATTGTAGTACTAAGTCATTCCCATTAATCTTCATCTTGATTTTCAGGGCTTGTCACATTGGTGGTAGTCTTCGTCAATATGTTTCCGTTTCCATTGGACAGAATACGGATTTGGACAGAGAACATGGTCCCGCATGAAAAACTGGTTTTGCCATGCACTGATTTAAAAACACGGAACATTTGGGTAAAGACATTCCCAAAATTAACTTCAGAAGCTGCTTTGAAACTGAATGATGTCAACAAAGATGGTATTCAAGATGTCATTGTTGGTTATGGAACAGGTATTATTCTTTTCAATTAGTGGAAGAAGTTTCTTTCAAAATAAAAAGGTGTTTCAAATTTTGCTTGGGTTATTATTATAGGCCTAGATATTTATTTCTGTTCCATGTTTTGTAAAAATGTTACTTTTTTCTGAGATTTTTTTGTAGGTAGTTTAAAAACAGAAAGAAAAAAACCATTGGTTTGATAACTTATCAAATAAAAGTGAATCGTAACTTAGTAGTTGTACAGCCTAGTTTTGAAAATTAGCCCAAGCAAGCTCTATATTATAATACAGTAGAACCACTCTTAACCTACCCTAATGGGACCCAACCTTGGTTGGATAATTCAAAATGTTGGTTAAAACGGACAATCCCTAAAAACATACTAGGTATTCATTTGGAATTATATAATCATTATTTTGAAGTCGTACTTGCATTATTTATAAAATAAATTACACTTTTCTCCTTTTTTTTTTGTATTGGTAAAAAAGAAGCAAATAAACACAAAGGAACGGTTAAGTAAAATTCTTTCAGTAGAATAAATTATATTTGTAGGCAAGAGTCAATACAAATTCTTATTTTAATACCTTAAGTACTTTAATATTAATTGATGCTTTCCAAATGTATTGTAATACAGTACAGAACTTTTTGTCAAAATTAAAGACAGACAACCATTTTGTAGACAGGATGGTTATTTACAGCCTCTCACTGGATGCTCGAGTCACAAACTATCTTGACCTTGAAGTTGTTAAACTGGTTAAACCGAACTGCTCTCAATGCAAGGTCGGTCAAAAAAACTATAATATTTTACCATCGAGGGTGGATAATCCGATCTTTGGTTAATGTAAGGTCGATTAATAGGGTTCTACTGTAATTGAAAATAATTATCATGCAAAACATATTTTACTAATTGGGATAATTTGTAATCATTTGATAGATAAATTGAATGTTGCAGAGTTTTTGTTCTTTTACTTTTATTTCCATAGATATATTTTTATTTTATTTTACTAAATTTATAATTTTTCTGTTGTTAAATGTTTTTATTATTTTATTTTGTTTGTACTTTTTAGTTGCTTGATGTTACTGCTTTCTCTATGTCACTGAATATGTTGGTGAGTATTTTTTTTATTGATTTTAATTTTTAAGGACCTATTTATTACTTAGGCCTGCCGCACACTACATTGAACATGACACAATAAGAAATTTTGACAGAAGGCGTTCTATACGGCTCAGTCAGTATGAGTTTAAATGGAGCTGACGCATACTACATAGAACAAAACGCGACACACGATAATACACTTTCTTAAGGCGTTTTCCTCCTCTGGCAAATTTACAGAAATTTTTGTTTTATGACAAAACATTAAACAAAATCAGAAAAGTCACTCTGCGCATGCTTTGTGAATCACGTGACATCCTCCTCCTTCTCCAGATAGCACTTGGAACACATCTGTCATCTACGGAACGAGTGGGCAGGATTTTTTCTTTGTCTGCTTTTTAGTTAAAGTGAAGTGAAGTTGAAGTAAAAAATGAGTGAACATAGTGCGGCCGTAGATGTAGATTAACTTATATTTTTAATTCAAAACAACCCGTTAATTTTCAACTCTACTTTGAAAGAACATCACAATTTTGATGTTTTTCTCCAAAATGAGTAAAATAGAGGGGGTCATGCGGGGTAGTTAAAAACCATCGAGTTTTGTTGTGTCGGAAGGAGTTTGAGACGCATCCGACAAAAAAGACCAGAACAGAAAAAAATGAAATCTTCGTGCAGTGTCGTGTCGCTTTAGATGTAGTGTGCGGCCGGCCTCATTAGGCCTAATGTAACTTGTTAAACTTTTTGATCAGCATTTTACATATTGGCCCTATAAGAATCTTTGATTGGGCCTGTTGATGACGGTCCGCTATCATATCACCTACCTATATACATATATATTTGTAATGTAAAGGTGAACTTTTATACTGAACATAAACTATATATAGCCCCCCCGACTAATATTGTAAAGATCAATTTATTATTCTGGAAGTTTTAGAATTATAATGTCATAATATTCATTTACGTAAAACTGTTTACTCCATGAATGATAATGTTTAGAGAAAAAGTTGTTCTCTTTGTCTAAAGTAGACAACAAAATTGTTGGTCGCAAAATGTAAATAAATAAAAAAAAGTAAAAAGGTAGCTTCTAATGTTTAACTACAACAATGTTAAGGGACAAATTTAAAAATGTATTTTAGGGTTTTATAATTACTACTGAGCGGAATCGTCTAGAATTTTAATGGTGTCTTCGCAGTGGTGTTATAATTATTTGTGCTAAATTTGAACGCTATAAGTGCAACGGTTCTTGAGTTTTTGACACGAACAGACAAGCGAACAACTAATCTCCGACTCCGCCATACACGAAAAACACGATACATAGATTCGTTCACTCATCTATTAGTTATCAGTCCAGAACTGATGGCACCAGAGTTGATTTTGGTTAGGAACCAATATCAATAACTAATTTGAAAGAATGGTATTGACATATCACAAGTCATTGCAAACATAATTTTTTACTGTCCAACTGCTTGCTGCAGGAGCTGATGAGATGGGACTAGACGAAGAGGTTTGTCCCAGCTATATGCCAGGAGTGCCAACCTGTCTAGGGGGAGTGATGGCGCTTGACGGTGGCTCTGGTGCGGTATTGTGGCAACACTGGACCCACAGGAGTGTGTTGTTTGTCGACTGCTCCACTGACCTCAACGGAGACAAGACCAACGACTGTGTCATCTCGGGTAAAGGCGGGGTGAGTCAAATAACACAAATTACAGTTTTCAATTATTCATGTAAAATCAAAATTGTTGACTTTATAACTGCTCTTAAAAATGTGCAAGCCTGAGATTTTTGAAAATATTTGGAAAAAAACTTAATTCTTGAGCTTTTTTTTATATAATGATTAATGAATTAAAGTAATGCCATCTAATAAATTAATTTGTCTGATTTTTTAAATTCAAACTGCAATTTAAGGTTATTATGTATTTATTTAGTCAAGCAGAATAAACCTACTTACTCTTACTCCCATGGCCATTGATAGCCTAGGTGGTATTTGGCCTCGCCAACAAGTTGCCTTCATCTCTCCCTGTTCTCTGAATTGTCTTTCCTTGATCTCAGATTTTGTAAACCTTTTTCCATCTGGTCCTTCCATCGATTCTTGGGAATTAAATTTAGCAATCATAAATGATTTTTTTGGGTAATATGCATTTATCACAATGTTATCACAGAATATTTTTATCAGTTTTGTAGTCGTGTTTCATTTCCTGCGATCGTGGAAAATCCTCTTTATTGCCTGCGGTCACAGAAACATAATCATCGTTCTTCCCGAATGTGGCAAAATCCTGAACATCTACCACGGTAGTATAGACATCATAATTGTCTTCCGCGATATCAGCGAAATCCTGGAGAAAATCCTGCAGTGATGGAAAAATCATCACAGCGCTAAATCAAATACTAAACATCTTTCGCGGTTGTGTGGACATCATCATTGTCTTATGCAACTGCAGCAAAATACTCAATATCTCCTGCTGTTTAAAATCAAATCATCATTGTCTTCCGTGATTACAGCAATATCCTCAACATCTCTCCATGTCTTGCAGACCATTAAAAGCTCTGCTCAAGCTTGGTTTTTGGACTTGGCTCTTAATCTCTCAAGCTGGGCTTGGCTTGGATAAAAAATAAAGCCTCACACACCTCTAGTCACATTCTATAAAGTCATATTTAGTCCAGGACCTGACTAGGGTTCTGTGTGCATGTCGTGTATAGAGAATTTTGCTTTTGCATTTCAATATAGGTGTCTTAGGAAGTGTTTTCCACTCGGGTGTCAAGTTCGCACCTGGTACGTTTTCGAGCTATGACGTCATAAAGATGGCGGCTCGGCAATTTTTAAATGCGTATATTTCGCAAACCGTTTAACGGATCGGTATGATTCTTTTTTTGTTTGAAAGATATTTTTACAAACTATCTTTTTTGTATTTACACATTTGTTGTAAACATAATATTCACCGCACAATATTGAAAAACGTCGTTTTTATTGTTATTATATTTATTGTTTTGCTTATAATTTCTTAACCGCTGATAAAATCAAATACCACCCGTGGCAAAAGTTTCAGATAATTCTATACCCTTTCCAATGATACCAAACAATATGTGATTGGACCTAAAAATAAAGCAAAGAGATTGAATAAACCGTAAAAAAACACTGAAAGTGGTGTACGGTCTGGGAAAGATTTAGTCCTGGACATGACTAGGGTTCTGTGTGCATGTCGTGTATAGAGAATTTTGCTTTTGCATTTCAATATAGGTGTCTTAGGAAGTGTTTTCCACTCGGGTGTCAAGTCCGCGCCTGTTTCGTTTTCGAGCTATGACGTCATCAAAATGGCGGCTTGGGCAATTTTTAAATGCGTATATTTCGCATACCGTTTAACGGATCGGGGTGATTCTTTTTTTGTTTAAAAAGATAATTTTACAGGAAATGTTTTTTGTATTTACACTTTTGTTGTCAACTTAATATTTATCTCACAATATTAAAAAACGTGGTTTTTAATGTCATTGTTTTTTAATGTTTCCTCATAACTTGTTAAACGCTTATAGAATGAAATAACTACCCATCACAAAAGTTGTAGATGATTATATGCCCTTTCCAACGATACCAAACAATTAATGTTTAAAACTAAAATTAAAGCCAAGAGATTAAATAAACCATTAACTAACACGTAACATGGTAGAAAGTCCGGAAAATATTGCGGCTTGAACAATTCTTTAAATGCGTATATTTCGCATACTGGTTAACGAACCGGGATGATTCTTTTTTTGTTTGTAAGATATTTTTTAAGCCTATCTTTTTTGTCTTCACACTTTTGTTGTTAACCTACTATTTATCACACAATATTAATAAATGTACATTTAATTGTTATTTTTATTTTACTTTTGCTAATAACTTTTTGACAAATAGTAGGTTAACAACAAAGGTGTAAATACAAAAATGATAGGCTTAAAAAACATCTTACAAACAAAAAAAGAATCATCCCGGTTCTTTAACCAGTATGCGAAATATACGCATTTAAAGAATTGTTCCAGCCGCAATATTTTCCGGACTTTCTGACATGTTAAGTGTTTGTTAACGGTTTATTTAATCTCTTGGCTTTAATTTTAGTTTCAAACATTAATTGTTTGGTATCGTTGGAAAGGGCATAAAATTATCTACAACTTTTGTAATGGGTAGTTATTTCATTCTATAAGCGTTTAACAAGTTATGAGGTAAATTTCAAAAACAATGACATTAAAAACCACGTTTTTTAATATTGTGAGATAAATATTAAGTTGACAACAAAAGTGTAAATACAAAAAACATTTCCTGTAAAATTATCTTTCAAACAAAAAAAGAATCACCCCGATCCGTTAAACGGTATGCGAAATATACGCATTTAATAATTGCCCAAGCTGCCATTTTGATGACGTCATAGCTCGAAAACGAAACAGGCGCGGACTTGACACCCGAGTGGAAAACACTTCCTAAGACACCTATATTGAAATGCAAAAGCAAAATTCTCTATACACGACATGCACACAGAACCCTAGTCAGGTCCTGGACTAATTAGCCTTAATTAGTAGATGTATTTATTTTTAAGGACCTTCAATCACCTCACCTTTTTGTGTTCCCATTTCCTGACAGGTGTTGAGTGCTCTGAGCGGTCTAGATGGAAGTGTTTTGTGGGAGTTAAAGAAGCCTCCCAGCAAAGACGATGTCGATGTTTACGCTGTCCAGTACATCAACGATGTTGACTTTGACCTGGTGCCAGATATTCTGGCAGCACACTCGTCCATTGTTGCAGGTAAATATTGCAACATTCACCTCAAAGACCTATAGACTTTGTTGGATTCTAATTATTTTTTACGAATTTCCCTATATGGAAGAAGCTATTTACTGTAGGTGGCATGTAATAGTCTATACTCGGGACCGTTTTTTATTTATTTTTATTTTGATGTCCCAAGGCCAAAAACACTATCCGTTCCAACTTTTATTTATATATACTAGAGGTCGTCTAAGCTGTCAAAAACTCAACCAAAAATATGTAATGTACAGACTTCTCTATTTTCACCCTACGCTGTAAATAAAACATCTGATTGGAATTTCTTCCATTTGTTTTGATTTTCTCTTTATATTGCGTTGTTATTTTGTCACCAGGATTGCAATCCTTAAGGTCCATGTTAATTTTTTTTTAGATTTTAAATTAATTTTTGTGCTTATTTTTGAGCCTATTTTAATTGTTGAAGGGATTCTGCACATCTGCAGAAAAATATCTTTCCAACAGTATTCATAGATTTTCCCTGCAATGCACACGAGCCGAGAAAAAAGGTTTTAAAGAAACATGCTTGTCTATTAATATATAGATATATATGTTTGTGCGTCTGTGAACATAACTCTAGCAGTTATAGCCTGATTTTGATGTAATATAACTTGAAAGTGCAGAGCAGAATAAACTAGAATGAGTTTGTGAAGCAGCAAGATCGCACAATTCAGTTACTGGCACATTCACAAAAATGTTATGGGTTAGGACCACTTTCCCTTAAAAGCATTTGAATTAATTTCATTAAAAATTGCCTCTCTGGCGTTGACACAAGCAAAAAAGAAGAAAAATAGATCGGGTCATGGGAATGGAGTGTTATGGGGTTTTTAGGTTGTTAAACAATTGGTTTTTCAAATGTGTTGCCTTAAAACATGGAAATACCTAATTTCCATTGCAGATATCTTGTAGGGCAAAAATCAATTTAGTATGTTAAAGCATTTTTGTACAATTGAAGGTTACAGAGGAAATTGAAAAAAAAACTGTTGATTAAAAATTCCTAAGTTACAGTTATTTTCTGACGTTTATGTATATCATGGTATAAGATCCATGTTGTCGTCTGCTCAACTGCTCCAGTATATTCCATTGGCCAAGCTGGACCAACTACTTGTGCAACGTTGGACACATCCCGTTGTCTAGGTCACTCACAGTAAAGACTGCATACAGTACATACAAACAGCAGGTAGTGCTGAGTAGAACAACAGGTAGTTTGGTGTTACAGGCTTCAATCCCTAGCTAAAAAGATTAACATTTTCATAAAAATGAGTTAGTTACATCATCTAAAATTTTTAGTTTCAGAGAAGTGTTTAAGAAACTTATAACTTTACCTGTTGAAGGAGAGGCGCAAGGACACCTGGTGGTGTTGAGTGGTCGGACTGGTCGCGTGGTGTCACAGGCTTCAACCCCTGGCTACCTCCCTGTGTACAGTCACCCTCAGGTGATGGTCAGACCTGATGGTACAGATGTGCTGCTGTTCACCACAGGCAGCACTGAGTCTGCTGGTGGCCTGTATGCTGTACCACTACACCATCTCGTCATTGGAAACATATCACAGGTAAACTGACCGAGTATAGCATTATTGCTGATTAATACTGGAAAATTATTATTCCAAGCTTGGAACAAAAGTATTGTACAAGACACAGGGTCATCTTACCGTTATCTCGTACTGTATTCTATATTGCTCAGAACATAATCTACCTCCATATATAATTAATTGTAATGTCGTTTTTGAGTGGCTGATGACTTCAGAGTCTCTAATCCATGGTTCTTCAACCTTTTTTGCTCTAGGACCATATTTTTAGAGGAACGGCAAAAAAGAGCAACAAAATACTATATTGCCGGGCAAGCAATATTCCAGTGGAGATATTGATAAGATATCTATTGATGGATAGATATTGATTTCAAGTTCACCCCGCTAAATAACCCACAAATAAGTTGTATTCTAATTAAAAGCTCAGCGATATTGTTTGTAATTTTCTTGCTTATTTATTTAATAGCTGTACTTCCTTACATTTAGCTTGTTGGCAAAATATAATCAATTAAATGTGTGTGTGAATAATACTGTGACAAAAAAAAATAATACAATTGACCTACTTCACTTATAATGTTTGATGGCTGTAACCATCCGTTCACACCTGCTCTAATGCATTCATGATACAGTGTAGGCCAAAAATAAATACAGGGTGTTTTTAAAAGAATGCCGGCATTTTAAACGACCATTGCTCGGGGACTATTCAAAATAATAAAACGATTTAAACGTCAAATTGAAAGGAAAAAACAGGAAAAAATTATTTTTCATACTTTGATACAATTCAAAATAATTTAGTTAAATTCTGATTCACATCAATCTTATATGAGCATAAAACTGGCAAAGTCTGTACGCTTAGGGTGATCTGATGTGTTAACTGGATCTTTTTAAGCACAAAAACTCTATCTTTTACGGATAACGTCATGAAGTGTCTATTTAGGTATGTTCATGTGAAGACTTTGTCGTGCAATCGATTTTTTCGGGCTTCAGATGCTGAATTGTCGGATTTCTTCGACTATGCCATAGCTTGTTATTTTGGCGGGTCAGGTGAATGTCTTTTCAAAACACTAAGGCGCCACAAAACTCATTAACCCAGCGTCAAATTTCATTATCATCAAGTAGATTTCAATTTAGTTTAATTTAGCAAATGATATAAACTCTGCGAACCTCAGATTACTCTCTATTGCCTTCTGTTGCGCTGTAAACGTACTGGCGACTGGAATTAGGCGTGTGATTCACAATAGCGGCCTACCACCGCGAACCTGTTTTGCTCATGCCAAGGTCAAAGTTTCCTCCCTTGCTACATGGGAAACAAAACTTAGTTAATTTAGCTTCAATTTGACCTATAAAACGTTTAGTTACCCTAATTAGTACCCAAGGAGTTATCATTTCAAATCCCGGCATTTTTTTATAAACACCCTGTATATTGACAATAAATGTATAGGTATTGTAAATGTACGTATATTAAATGTAATAGGTGTGTATATGAGATCAAGTATAAGGATATGATAATGATTATTGTACATCTTGATGTTTTATGGAAAATAAACGTATTTGATTTGAATACACATTGAACTTTCAAATCATTTTTTTGCCTGTTTTTAGAGTGTTCAACTGACCAGAGGTGGTGTTAACGAAGCACCAGTCTTGGTAGATATCAACAGAGACGGCTCGGAAGACATAATTGTAATATCAGATAGCCAAGTGACAGCCATTGACGGAGTAACTCTGGAACAGATATGGAATGTGTCAGCACAGGCACTACAGATCTCAACACCCTTTAATTATAAATCTCAAATACTGAAGTGAGTAACACTGATAAATACTTAAATTGTTTTAAAAGAATCAAAATTTAATTTTTTCCAATGGTAAAAAGATCTGGTATTTATTTGTGATTATTTCTTTTCCCAGAATATACTCCTTTTATATATAATTTTTTTTCACGCACAATATTACAGATCTTACATCTTAGATACAGATCTTAGATATGTACTAAATTTAGATTAAGATTAAGGTTAGTAACGATTAAGATTGACTTAAGTTCAATTATTTATAATGATAGTATGAAAAAAGATGTTTGCTTTCATTTTATAACTTAAACTATTTAAACCATTTGAGAGGGGAAGTGATCTCAATATTAAATCGATCAATAGATATACCCCTACTTTATATCTTTCAAGTAAACTGTAATATCTTCTCTATTTACTACTACTCATTATACCAAGAAGGTATTTGACCTCACCAACTGCATCCATTTTTTTCTTCTCGGTCCTCTCTACAGATCATTGGTTACCACAGTAGAACCTCTATATAGTTTGACACTTTGTAGACTCAAGGGGTGTCGAACTATCGAAATGTCAAACTATATGAAGTAAATGAAGGTTTACTGTATATGTTTCCGCATCTTCTTCGTGCGCCCAGGGAGTTATCTTCTATCTATGTATTCCTTACATCTTTATTTTATGAAAGCGTCATCTCTGTTCTTTATTACATGTCCGATCCATTTCAAGATCGCCTCTTGCGTCAGCAACCACTTTAAAGAAATCTTCCTAGGTTTATAGCTATAGACATATTTCTTTAACTAAAATACACCTGTTTCAGTTCTCCCACTCCAGCTTATTTCAACGATGATGACATTCCAGACTTCTTGTTTACGCATGTTGTTGGATCTTCCTATCCCGAGTTTTACTATTCTCTGGTAAGTCATATCTATGGTTGAAACCGTAGTTTGAAATGTTTACTTTATGGAATTGTAACTCTTTGAGGATTCATTTGTCATTAAATTAATTATCATTAGGAAAACAAGAGACATTAAATAGTTTGCCACAGTCCCGGGAGACTATGATTATGTTTTTGTTACCTTAGGTCATTCAGATATTCAGGAGTTTGACACAATGACAGATAACAAAGATAAAGTTTCCGTGGTCACGGGACACGATGATGATAGGTTTTTTTTCGGGAATCCCGGAAGATGAAGATCATGTTCCCGTGACCGCGGGAGACAATAAATATCTTGCTGTGACCGGGGAGACGATAATAATGTTTCCATAGCCCCAGGAGTTGTCCTGGATTTGGTTGTGGGGGATGACGATAATGTTTCTGTGTTTGCGGAAGACGGTGATGATGTGTCAGTGACCGTGGGTTATTAACAAGATATTTGTGGTGGTGATGTCCACACGACCACAGGAAATTGTAACTTTATTACCACAATAACATTATCACCTACAGGCGATGACAAGGTTGGATCAAGCAAGGTATAAGACTAGCCAAGATCATATTAGCGGGTTCTACTGTAGGCTATATTAAAATTTTTTTAATACATTAACAATATTTAAATCCTGTGCTGGATGATATTATTCTCATCAATGTATTTTAATTTGTTTTTAAAATAAGGAATAGTTAATCTACACCTATTTTATGGATCTAGATTTTCTTTTTAAAGTATACTGTTCATACTTTCTTAAAAATTCTAGTTCTGTACACTGCAACATGTCCAAAATACCTTTTGATCATCAAAGACTTTTATTAACTAGCTAGCTAACTTTTATTAACTTGTATTACTAGGCTGCTGACTAGTATTATTCAGGTCACCTATCCAGGCAATAATCCATCAAATGACTCATTCGTTTGCCGCATCACAGACGTCGGTGGTGGATGGTCGCACAGGGCAGCCTCTGATGGACAAGCCCATGGTTGCCTCAGCATTTGTAGATGTCCCCGGGATATCACTGAGTGTTGCGGGTCGAGGCAACGACCTGTTTCTATACTGGGCTGGCGTCTGCGAGGGATACGAGAACAGCGACACACGGTTCTCCTTTCTCAACAGTACGTAAACACGTGATACAGTTAAATGTGGTGTTTGTTATGTTTTGTTGATTGATTTTACAGATTACAGGGTACAGTATATCAATTAAGTAGGTGGGGGGAGACATTTCAAATTAGAACGTAATGTTTTTATAAGCTACCATTTTACCCATTGTGAAAAACCAGCTTAGGGGATGAGGTGGTCTAGGGGTAGAGCACGGAGCTTCAGGTTAAAATATATAGCCATAACTAACCACACTCTAGGTCTAAACTGAAGTAATGTATAACACATTACTAGGTTAGAGCCCAGCGTTCTAGGATAAGAGGTGGGAAATAAAAGAAACAGCTTTTTTTAAATAAGCTGTGGTATAGTTGACACACCTTGTCTTAGTTTACAACAAAATCATCATAGATAACTTGATCTTGATACAAACCTTCATTACTCCATAATCAAACAAAACACATGTCAGTGGAAGTCATCAATCAAAATGAAGTTAAAATAAAATAGATAAATAAATAAAATAAATATTTGTAAAAATAAAATAAAACATTAACCTCTGAATTTTATACCGAGTTCAATTTTGACGATCAGATCTATAAATGTTATAAAAACACTCCAAAACCACTCACTTGTGCTAAACAGCGGATTGACAACAAGATTTATAATTGTAACCTTTTTTATCGTTGTATTAATCTGTTAGAGCGTTTCTAGTGTACCATTAATACACTGTGTTTTAGTGCTAGAAAGAACCATTGACTTGACATACACTACCGTTACGTAAACTTAACTTTGAATTCTCTAGCTTAATGAGGTCAAAGACATAGCTTTTTTACTTGACGAACCTAGCTGACACTTTGTGTTTTGTTCATCACACAGGCTTGACATTGATGCCAGAAACATTGAGATTAATCTGTGATTTATGTTCTCAGGCACGCCCATCAGACAAAGGGTAAAGGCAGATCTTTGCCGCCTCAGGTTCAATGCCTCGCTTGATTTGCGACTCTATGCCTTCAGTGAACACACTGCACCACCAGGCCTGCTTATATACTCTTCAGGTATATTGAGCTATCTGAAAATTGATCTCATCATAAAGTACTGGTCTGAAAACAATCAACCTTCTTTTCCTAAAAAAGACATTAAAAAACACTAATGTGCTGTAGACGGGTTTAATATATAGTTTTGGGCTCTTCTAAAAATGTTTAACCATTCTGCAAAGGCACTAAGGAGTATAACAAGTTTCAAAAGCTAAAATACAATGAAATACTTATTAACTACAATAGAAGTCTTGGAATGCAATATTCAAGGCAAAAGAAGCGAACAACGATAAAGCGGAATGCAGGAGAGTGGAGGTACAATGCATACCTTAATACCTCCTCCTTCGTCTTTTACCCACAAAGTGGGATTGACAGCGTCACTTAACACGGTTACTAGAAATAAACATGTATTTACAACTATTTACAATTCTTTGGCAGGCTACAGGATTCTAAAGTCATCCCTTAGATATTCTGAGATGTCATAATAGGCCCGGCTCTTGATGAAAGAGGTTAACACTGCCTCAAAAGTTTTAAAATCCAACAACTGTATATGCCGTGGCAGCTTATTGAACAAACTTAAGGCGGATTATGGCAGACACATTATAACTAGCTTGGGTCCTAGATAATCGCGCCCTGGGTACATTAAGCTGATGGCGCTGCCTGGTGTTGTGCTGGTGGACGTCATCATGAGTGCTGAAGTTGTTTATATTGGCCCTAACTTGCACCAGACAGAGAAGTATGTAGTGGCCAACTACAGTAAGCAAACCAAGTTGTGCAAAGAGGGGTTTGCAATGAGCACAATACTCACTCTCAGTAATAATCCTTACTGCACGCTTCTGGAGCCTAAGCACTTCTACAACCTTTGGCGAGTGTCCCCAGAGAAGGCCATAGGCATGGCAGTGAAAGAGGGCATGGTACACCATCACCAAGTATGCCTCTGTTACGCAGAATTTTAGTTTGAGGAAGAGGAAACAGATCCGTGAGAGTCTGTTGGTGGTCTGGACTATGCAATGTGTCCAGCTGAACATCCCATCAAGAACAAATCCAAGCAGTTTTACTGGATTCTGAACACCAGGCTGATTTTTGGAAAGGCTGCAGATGATGTGCTGCGTCTCATCCTCATTGAGTTGAAAACGGTTAGCCAAAAACGTTGTATCTTCAAAAAATACATGATGTGTGCTAGAGCAAAGCTGGCCAACCAGAGGGTTTGTGTATTTCAAGACTCCATTCCACATTCACTATGCAGTAACTTATGGGGGATAATCGTAATGTAACTGGAAACATTATGTTTATTGTCATGCAAATTGCATCATCTGTCATCTTGATCCCTGTGAAGGTACACAGTTGTAAATAAAATTGTTATGCATATGTTTGCTAAAATCTATCTGTAATTTTAGAGAAACGCTGGAAGGAAGATCACAACACCACTGCAGCACCAGTTGATCAACAGACGACCTCAGGGCTGCCGATACTGAAGCAACAACCAACACCACTGCAGCCAACACAACAACTGAATAATTTCCATCACACTGGAGATTCAGTGGAACATTTGAAGGCTTCTCCACACCACCACTCACACAACGGATATCACAGACAACAGTTTGGTGAGTCAGAGATGGAGTTTGTAAAAGTTGCCAAAATCGGTATAAGTTCAAATTTTTGAAAATAGTAGATTTTTCAGAAACTGCGCGAAAAACAAAAGGAAAATTCATTTAGCCTAATAATTTAATAGTCAAATTTCCATCACAAATTGTTTCATGATATAAAACATTTATCAGGACATAAGTAGTTGGGTTGCTGCAGGCAAGCCAATTTTTCCTGGCTTTTGCAGCAAGCTTTGTTTATGAAATGTTGTAAAATTTTTGAGATTTTCCAAATAAAAAAAAAATAAAAAAAATAAAATCAGATTTTTTATTCAAAAGATATGTTCAAAAGAGTTTTTTTTTTTTTTTTTATCATATTTGATCTGTCAATGTTGATTTGCTTCACAGTATTTTGGAACTTTTCTAGTTTTAACTTAGTTAAAGAGTGCATACCTTTCTCTTAATAAATTAAGACATTTTAAGGTAAAGTGGACGTTTCCTTCCAGTGGCGTAGGCCTACGGCACCAACAGATGGTAATTGTCTCTTAACTGATTAACAACTATTGGGGCTGTACTCAGGTTCCAGTGATGAGTTGCCAGTGAACCTCAACCAGGCTATGGAGGAGTACGAGAGACTACGAGAGCGTCGGCCTCAGATGGAGTGGCATCCACAGGAGTCAGACTACAGCACCAACAGACGGTGATTGTCTTTAAACTTATAAACAACTGTTAAAATATTTGTTGTTATCCCAGTTTCAAGAACATGTATTAACTTATGTTACATTTACTTATTCATTGTTGTCTGAGTTCTTGTAGGTTATATGTTTATGTCACCCTATGCAAAAGCCAGTTTGAGTGGCATCTTCAAGGGTCTTCTTAAGTTCTTATCACTAACACTAGTCTATACTGTATTTACAAAAATTCTTACACATGCATGGAGTGTGTAAATATTTTAAATATAAGACCTGTGTGAATATTTATGACCCGACTTTAATACTAGTAGGGGGCACATGTGTAAATACTGGGTGTCCCAGAAAGGAATGCACTTTTAAAATGAAGAACACAGAAAAATGGCTTTATTTACAGCAATTTTTGCAAGAATAGCAGTTAGTACACTTTAGGGAAATTACTTGTGAAAGAATACATCATCCAGATGTAGAGCCCTCCGGCGCCGGTACTCCGCCAATCAAAACCTTACATGTGCAAAGACTTGATGGCAGAGTTCTGGTGGGATGGCTTCAATTTCCTCACGAATATTTTGCTTCAGATGATCGAGCGTAGCAGGAGCATTGTTGTATACCCGACTTTTTAGATACCCTCACAAAACAGAAGAAAAACCCAACATAACATTTTAAAAAAACGTCCCAAGGAATATTAATGGACCTGTCCTTATATTCTTTAGATGAATGGAAAATGGCTTCATCATAGTTTTAAGCATTAGTTTAAATTTATTTGACACTATTCATGTACAACCATGTATACTATCATGAATAAAGATTCTTGACTAAGTCTAGTGGAGTTAGGTCTGGGCATCTCGGAGGAAAATTGATGTTACCAAATCTGGAAGTGACTTTTCCAAAAAACAGCTGCCTTATTGCATAAAATTGTCCCGTTAAAGAGATGTCACTTCTGCTGAGTGTGGTCCGGTTAAACCAATGTCTAGTTGAAGGTTGTCCGGATAAGAGGGAGTCACAAGCCATTGAAAACAAATAAAATCAAAAACAAACTAACTACTTTATAAATCAAGGTAAATTAACAAAGGACAATAAGAGCGATTTCAGACTAATAAACTAAATTCACATTTTGACTGGATAATAAATTACTGTGGGGGAAAAAAAAGCAGACAAGAAAAAATAAGAACTCTTCCTATTCAAATTACTTGAACAGCTAAATGTTGGCTTGAAAATGAAAATAATAAACAGGCATTTCTTACAGAAACTAACTTAAAAAACACATTTTCAAATCAGTTTTTTTCCTACAGGTACCAGAACCTAGGCATGTACGGAGGTGTGCTGCCTGACACACTAGGAGTGGGAGACCTAGAGGCTGGCTATGGACCAGAGGGCGATGACGGACCTGTGTTCCCTCCCAACGTGATGGGACGAGATGAGAGAGCCGAGGAAAACCGACCACGCCGCAGTATCTACAACTCTCGGCTACTGCCTCATGTAGGCTCACCAGGTACGTCCATAGTAAATGTTGCTAGGCTAGTTAAAAAACCTACAGCATTCCCCTGGCCTAGAAATACAAAATTGTAGGTTTTTGTTGTTTATATAATTATTTACAACAGTTAATACATTTTTGTGAATTTCCCATTTAGGGAATCAGCTATTACCGTAATACTCATGGTAAGACCTGGACCCGGGACCAATTTACTTTTTTGTTTTGAGGTCCCTAGTGGCTAAAAACACTATCTGTTCAGTCAGCCTTCAACTTGTACCTTCCTCAGTTGAAAATTTTGGTAGTGAAAGAGAAATATTCTATTTTTTGTGTGTACAGTTTTGAACTCTTCCCCATCCAGCTAAGCCTACTATTAATAAAAACTTTAAACCTTGGCCCTTGTGTTGTGTATTTAGTTGATTTTATTGATTATATTTTATTTTAACATGCAAATAAAATTGTATGCCAATAGCTGGGAGAGAGGTGTAAAAACACTATGTGGAACTACAAGTCGGCTTCAGGTGTGTAGTATAAGTATTGTGGTCGCTGGTCATTACCAATGTTGGGAAACGTCCACTAAATGCTGTTGATGACAGGAACGCTGGCCCCAGCGTTAGCAGGTTCGGGAGTGGATCTGGTGGTGACAACTCATTGGCTGCCTTCTGCAGATGTCTATGTTCGGCTGCCGAGGGACGAACAGTGTATCCTTGAGAGAATGAGCCGGATTACTCCAGGTAAGGATTATCAAGCAGTTCGTCAAATAATTTTATGACCAAAACTAGAACTTTTTTTATAATTATTGTTTACTTTCATAGTTGGGTTTCATATTTTTAATTATTGACTGGGGGTTCAATTCAATTCAAAGATACTTTATCAAAAAATATACAAGAGTATACTTGAATGGTGTTCAGAACTATAGGCCTACTTCATACATTATATAATAATAACTAATAAGATAGAAAACTTGTACATATTTTTATATACCAATAATAATATAATCCAATATAAACCAATATTTAAACCCGCGGGTAACAGCTAGTCATGTATATAATAATGCAGGTCACCCACAAAAATCATAATTTCAATGTTCTCAGTTCAATTGTTGAGTACATGTTAAATTTTTTGGTTAAAATTTGTGTCTTGTTTGAAAAAATGCCACTTTACTCACTAGTTGCATAAATAGTTATTCTACTAACTGTGAAAAATTTGCTGTGAAACAGTGAGTTAGTTATTTCACATACTATAAAAACAGACAACTTAAGACACCCTTATAAACCATTTGTGGATGATTAGATTGGATTTCTTACAGAGAAGTACGATGACCTGGAAGCGTTGCGCGCGACTGTGGAAGAGGAGTGTTTGCTGGCACGAGGTGTTTCGCGCTCGCTGCAGCCGGCCCATGTCTCACTCGCCGGACAGCTGACTGTGTCGCGTGTCACGCTGGACTATGTGTGTGACAAAGTAGCGCCGCCTGGTGAGGAGTGCGCTCACTTGTTATCGTACGAGAGACAGTCTTGTCCTCAGCGGGGACCAAACACATACTACAAGCCTCATTCCTTCTCACGACCTGTGCTTGCTTGACTACTCGGAGACAAATAAGCAGGAAATGATGTTGATAAAGAACATGCAGCAGGACATTTAAATTTTTGAATTCAGATTAATGCCATGCACCTCCTGGCTGAAATAACTTTGAAATGTATAATTTTGCACCATTTAATTATAAAAACACACTGAGTTATTCACGCGTTGTTCGGATCTTAAATACACCACTAAGTTCAAAAAAGGTTATTTTATAAATAATTAGTTATTTAGATAAGTACCCCCACCGCAGCAAACCCGCAGACTATTGCTAGAACTCGTTAAAATTTATCCAGTTCTACCCATTCTTGGAAAGTTTCTTCAAATTCTGACCAAAATTAGTCGAGTTATCTTGTTGATAGACACACACACATATTATATCTATGTTATCCTCTTGTATAGCCTCTTGGGACATCAAAACGAAGAAAAAAATCTGTCCAGGGTAATAGCTTGTTTCCCTACATGGGAAATTTGCTAAAACTCACAGTTGTGGAATGTGTAGGCGTTCCATTAATGAACACATAAGTTTATTCCTTATTCCAAACAAATATTGCCTAGAAAAAATAAGTATAGGCTATCCCCAATCTCAAACACATTAAATAGCCTAGTCTTTGTAAATATGAAGAATTTATTTTTTTCCAGCGTCTCAAAGCGTAATTTAATAATAAGTGAGCTGTAATAGTTTTTGATATTTTGGTATTTGCTGTAGTGCTATCAGTTGTACACTGTGGCAGTTGGGCTAAGTTATGTTATTCATCCCAATCATGTAAACCATCAATAATTAGTTACTTACATGGCTATTAAGTTATGCCTACAACCTTAAAAACAAATCAATAACTTAGTTTTCCTTTCATATATCAAACATTAGCAGCTATTTTAAGGATTAAAGCTTTATCTATAATAGACCTTTATGTCCTATTTTTTGGGTGCTTTGTTGTGTTGAGAAAAGAGATGTTTTATAAAGTTTTATCATTCAATAGTTTTACTAATATTATATTTTGTGTAATTTAAAGTGCTAGTACTAAGTATTACCAAGGAATTTAATTGTAAATGGGCTCATATTGCCCAAAGATACTTGTAGTGTAGTCATTTATTATAGCTTTTTAAAATATATATTCCCAAATGAAATCCCTTTTAAAAATATTATTAGAATCCTAGCTAAGGATTGATATTTATTTCTTTTAGGTTAGATTCATTTTGAGAATAAGCTTTTGGCTTAGGAGCACATTAAGAAAGAAGGAATTGATATACTTACCTAGAAACGAGATCCAGACAGTAGACAGCACATAAGTTTTCACATTTTCTTTCTTTCTTCTGAAGAGCTATCCCGATTTATCCTCTTGTAGTGGCGAGATATCAAGTTTATTTTGTTGTGACCTTTCTCTATGCTTTCAACCGCCTGGAACTCTTTTCTTGGGTAATTAAGGATTTATTGTAAGGATATCAAGTTTAGGTACATGGGAAAGAGACCAATCCGGCACAAGAAACACAAAACTTTACTGTTGGGTTTGACAGTACCTGACGACAGTTCCAAATTGTAACATTCAGGAGTTATGATATGTTTTGTCCAACAAAGCCGAAACATGACAACTACTGTAAAAACCATTGGCCAATATTACAGTTCCGGGGCTATTACAAAAGATTTTAATGTAAGACTTATTAAACATTAGAATATTTCACCCCCACTGATAGTATTTTCAACAAACTAAGGAAAGTGTTAATTGGAGAGAAAGTTGTGTTTTGGTTTAAAGTTATGCGTTTCTTGTGTCAGATTTGACTCTTTCCCACTCAGGTAAGCCTGCTGCCATCACAACAAAATCCTAAACCCAATGTCCTTGGGCTCCAATGTTAGGTACATCCTTAACATAAGTTGTTTATACACACATTTTAAAATAATTTTGAAGAAATTCTAATTTTAGTTTATTGTTATTGTTAAGCTCCGTGTTAAAACATTTTTGGAAGGGGTTTAGTTTTTCAGTTTTTATCTTTCTGGATTATTTTTTTATTATTGCCTATTTTTCGATTCAACAAACTTATTGAAAATTAGATTTTTCCTTTGGATTTCATATTTGATCCTGAAACTTTTGATTCGATTAAAGTAAGTCAATGTCACTATGAAACAACTATAATTATCGATTTATATTGTAATTCATATTTATTGTCTAGCCTATCCTAAATAGCTGTAGTAATACTTATTTTGATGTACAGTGGAGTAGGATATTTTTATATAACTAATATTGTATGAAATTTGTATGTAGCACATTTTTCAATTTTTGTGTTTAGAGAAAAAAGTAGGTATCTATGTTGACATAATGTAATTTTTACAGCTCAATGATAGTATACTATACTTGTTTTAGGTGAGACATTCTACATTTTAATCTAGTATGCACAATAAAATAATTGGTAGCTAAGCATGTGACCCTTTATAATTCATGGAAATAAGCTAAGATTATAATGAAAACTGTATTTTTATATAATAATAGAAATTTTGGAAACAGTTCAGCTAGCTTTCCAGAGAAAATTCAGTCTAAGGAAAAAATGGAAAAAATCAAATAAAATAAGCACATTGCCGATCTTTTGATTTTTAATGAATAGATGGAACAATTGTGTATATATTTGAGTAATGTTTAGTTCCTGGACTCTGATTTTCTCAGGCAAGAAAACCCCTATTGTTTTCTAAATAAAAAACAAACTTCTGAATCTGTAAAATTGTGGTTAAATTCAAAACCTTGTGACACTAGCATAAGAAAGGACGACTAATTGGCACAAACCTTTTATCAAAACATTACCAAAACTGTGCTTTTATGTCAACAATATTAGTATTTGTACAGCACTTAATTTACAATGTTGGTTTTTCTTAAATACCTAAGTGGTAAATACATTTTTGAGGTCAAATAAAACTATAGGAATTTCAATTTGAATTATTTTACTATAGTTCGGCCGCTTAGAAAGCGAGCTCCTCCAGCATTGGTTTAGCATTAGCGCGCAGGTCGTTTTCTAAGCAGCCGAACTATAGCCAAACATATTTTAAAACTCCACTTGATTTGATATGATAAAAACAGTATGTTATGTATTTTTGTAACCAATAAAAATTGTCTTATGAAAACTAAGTTGTTGGTATCTTTGAATGAGAATGGACAAAAGAATTAACATGTAACAGTCAACAACATTTTATTTAAAAATCACAGTAGAATCACAACAGATTGATTAAAGCTTGTTCTGATAGTTATTAAATGATAAGTCTCCATTAGACTAGGTGGTTTTGGAGTTGGTGTTGTCAAACTGAATAAGGCCGTAGCTACCGGTCAAAAGCCAGTTCTTGTCCTTAGCTGAAACAGGTTCATACAACCTGGGTTCCAAACCTACAAACAGAGTAATTAAATAAGTTTTTTTTGTAGTTTCTACTTTTTCTCATCGATTGGTAAAGAACAATAGTTTGGTAGAGGATTAAATTAGAAATAAATTCATAAGGGAAAACGAGCGGATCGTATTTCTCTAGCTCTAAATTAGAGCTTGGAAAATTTGCTTTGATATCAGCTGTTGTAGAAAATAACGAATTTCTGTTCAAAGTGATAAAAATACTTGTTTTACCCGCTATCAGATCTGCCTTGGCGGTGCGCAGGGCTACAATTGGAGCAGGGTTGAAGCCTCTCAGAGCCGCATGAAACGAAGTTGTGTACTTCCAGTTGATATCTCCGAGCAACTTGCGATAGTTGAGATCCCCCTTGAAAATGATGATGCTGCTCTCGGCCAACATACTGTGCAGCTTGGGGTCTTGCTCCTTCATCTCGTTGTAAGAAAAGGGCAAAGTCCAAAAACAATCACTGTGGACCGTCCATTTTCCTAAAAACAAACCCATAAATTATAGCTATAGGAAAGTTCTCAATCCATTGAACAAAATTGTATTTGTAAAAATACAATGACAACCCTCATACGAATTATAAGCAAATCAGTATTGACATTTAAAACAAGTGACTACAGCTTGGGCAATTAAAACCTTTTCTTTTGAAGAAGCTTATTTGAGGTGGGGGAGAAAATGTAATATCAACTGTTGGTTATTGATACAAATCTATCTTTAAAGTGCATTAAAATCAAGTTTTTCATTAGAGACTGAGGATGTAATACCTTCAACTAACTTCGACTAGGTTATGAAAAGGGACTAGGCTTTTGGGATTTTTGTGAGGATAGCAGGCTTACCTGAATGGGAAAGCTTGAAGAAATCGTCATCTAACTCATACCTTTAATTGAAAATGCTACAAGTGACAGTAAAATACCATAATGTTTTGTTTGTGCATAGTGTAAAGGTTTGTGTTTATTTTGACAATTTTGTCTCTCTATTCTTACAAAAAATCCTAAAACTTGTTAATAGTACATAAATTTAAAGCATGATTGGTGTGATGGTATACGTAAGAACAAGTAACAAACGATTTAATTTAGAATTCCATGACATACCATTTTCCAAATAGTCATGCCAGCGAGCTGCCAACTGTTGGCAGGCAGGAGTGTGGTTGGAAAGTCTCTCTATCACCTGGTGAAAGTCTTTCTCCATCACATCAGAGATAAACCACGGGATAGCTTTGCAATGGAACCTCACCCTCTCTGCATTGTACATAGAAGTCAAATAGTCGGCGAGACATAAGTCTGTCATCACCTCCACACCGGTGTTGTCAAATACAATGTCTGCAAAGAAACTTATCATTGATTGTTTTAATTTACAAAATATACACACATTTTGAACTAGTGTAATGCTACAGAAAGGGTCAAAATACTACACAGAGTGTCTAGTTAATTACCATTTTAAATTTCAAGACTAATTCCAGATTTTTCAAGACTAGTTTTTTTTACATTTAACGATATGTCACATTTAGTGTTTTAAAATGTATTGATTCTCGCTTCTTGATACCGATACCAATTTTCAAAGTTCAACAAAATTTTCTAAATAATTTGGTAATACTACACCAACCCCTGTCTTTATGACGATTAAGATAATAGGGCGTTTTTCAAGTTAAGAAAACAATTCAGCAATACAAAATTCTAACTAGCCAATTTGTTTTTTTTTATCATGAAAATCTTCCGCTCCCGTGTAGACATCATTATCATCTCCCGCAGTTACGTGATTGTCGTTTTGTGCAATCGCAGCAAAACCGTGAAAATTCCCAACTTTAACATCAAAATAAAGACTAAATCCCGACTTTTCAAGACCATTTTGAAATTAAATACTAATTTCCGACTTTCCCGTTTTTCCTGACTATTAGACATAGATCAGTTATCAAAATCGTAACGCACCATGATTTTATAAATTTGCCGCACAGATAACAAATCAGATGTGCTCGCGCTACAAACAATGATGAATGATGACAAACTGGCAATATGTAATATTTTTTGGGATAAATACTAAATACTTATTCTTAGTCACATCGTGTAGAGGTTATCTCTACAGGGGCTATGGTTACCATCACCGAGCGTGGGAGCAAAAATGCCGAGATTCTTAGAAAGTGGTGATTAATCTGAACAGCTCTCAAAGCAAGGTCGGTTTAAAACAAACTGTAATATTTAACGATCAAAGTGGATAATCCGATTATCGGTTAATGCGATTGCGAGGTCGATTAAGAGAGGGTCTACTGTAATATGGTTGCGTCATTCATCCTTTAATAAACACAAGTATAATATACAAAGCTAAGAGGTGACACAAATTCAACCTCTGT